CTCACCAAGTTCGTCGAGAACGAGGGGAGGTACAGACCAGACAAGGTGCCCGAGGGGGCAGCCGGACACGGGAGGACAGTGGAGAAGTGAGAGAGGACAGGACCCCCAGAGGGGTCAGCCAGGGAGACTGCAACCGGCCGGCCAAGCGGCGTGAGTGTGGTGCGGTCTCGAAAGAAGGAGCGAGAAGCCCCTGAGTCAAGCGTGAAGGTGAGGGAGGCCGAAGCCGACGCAGTACCTGAGAGCGCAGCCTCACCAGTACCTGAGAGTGCAGACGCACTGGCACCTAGAGCAGCAGCCGCAGAAGTACCTGGCGCAGCAGTACCAATGCCCGGGTCGGGCGGGAGACACCGGTAACAGTCACCCTCCTCACTAATAGTCACAGCATACATGGCAGCAAGGATAGCATCAAAGTCAAGATCAAAGATAGCTACGCCAGCCCTAGACAGCTCTCCCCAACGGGGAATCTCACTAGCCTCGGGGAACTGCTGACGCCAAGCGTCCGTCAGGCGGCCAAAGCAGCGCTGGGTGGGGTGGGCACCCCCACACTGCTCACCCGCGCGGTCGCCGGAACGAAGGACGTAGGTGCACGGACCAAAACCCCCACCCCGCTGACGCTGCGTGTACCACTCACGGAGCTGCTGGGGCGGGGGGATGTCTCGCGAACGCTGCTGCTGCTGCTGACGCTGGCCACCACCAGAGCCGCTACGCTGCGGGGCACCACCCCGACCAGCTCCACCCCCTCCGCCACCGCCGCCTCCACCTCCACCACCACCGCTGCCTCCGCTCCCACCGCTGCCGCCGCCACCGCCTCCTCCTCCGCTGCTGACACCGCCACCACCGCCCCCGCCACCACTCCCACCGCCACTCCCACTCCCTCCGCCGCCTCCACCGCCACCTCCACCGCCCCCGCCAGGTCCACCCGCGCCCTTGCCCCCCTTGCCCCTGCCAGGGCGGCGTCTCCCGCTTGGGGCAGACGCCGCGCAGACCGACTCAAGACCAAGCAGGTCGGCAGCAGCAGCAGAGGCAACAGAGGGCAGCAGGGGGGAAGGAGAACACCCCTCAAAGATGGGGGTGCGAGGGTCACCACGAGAGGCTCCTACAGCGACGATGCTCTTCTCCGCCGCCAGGAGGGACTTCTCGAGGAGGTCAACAGTGAGAGTGGTGGGACAGACTGAGAGGAAGTGGTCCCTGACTACGTGAAGGGAGTCAGGGAGGCGTGTGACTATGTAATAGAGAGTGATGTACATGGGGGGGGGGTTCTTGGCGCAGAACTCAGCAGGAAGGGCGGCACGGTAGCGAGTGTCACTAGTGCGGAGGTGCGTAATGAGGTCAGCGACAGTGGGAAAGGCAGCAAGGTCAGGAAAGAGGTACGGTAGCATGAGGCGGCTAAGGGCAGCAGTGGCAGGGGAAGAGTAGCGCGCAACTACAGCGTCGTACAGGGTCTGAGCACTCTTGTACTGACTAAAGTGCGCGCGCTCAGTGGTAGGCAGGTGGCGACGCACAGCAAGACGTGCAGCAGCATCGCGGGTGGCCCACTGAGAGCGAACAGTGGGGTCAGCATCAGCAGCAGGGGCAGGAGAGGCGCCAGAGGTGAGGTCAAAGAGGGAAAGACCGTCCGCCCTATCGCACTGTAAGAACAGCTGCAGGTCGTCGACCCAGACCTCAAAGTCAATGGCTCGACCCTCAGCGTCAAAAGCGAGGACACTAGGGGTAGCCATGACGACGACAGTGTAGTAGTGCAAGCAGTAGGGGAAGGGCACGCAGTAACAGTGGTGCTGTGCTCACCAGGCAGGGCAGGTCGGGCGGCTCGGCAGTAGGGCGGCCCGGCGACTGGGCGGCTCGGCGGCTCGGCTGCTGGGCGGCTCGGCTCCCGGGCGGCTCGGCGGCAGGGCGGCTCGGCGGCAGGGCGGCTCGGCGGCAGGGCGGCTCGGCTGCTCGGCTCCCGGGCGGCTCGGCGGCAGGGCGGCTCGGTAGCAGGGCGGCTCGGCTGCACGGCGGCTCGGTTGCTCGGCTCCCGGGCGGCTCGGCGGCAGGGCGGCTCGGCGGCCGGGCGGCTCGGCTGCAGCGCGGCTCGGCGGCGGGGCGGCTCGGCTGCTCTGCTGCTGGGCGGCTCGGCTGCGCTGCTGTTGGGCGGCTCGGCTGGGCCGCTGACGTAGCGAGGCGGCGGGGCCGCGAAGACGGGCGGCGGGGCCGCTGCAGAGAAGCGGCGGGGCCGCAGGGAAGGGCGGCGGGGCCGCAACGAGAGAGGCGGCGGGGCCGCAGCGAGAGAGGCGGCGGGGCCGCAGCGAGAGAAGCGGCGGGGCCGCGAAGTAGGGCGGCGGGGCCGCTGAGTAGGGCGGCGGGGCCGCAGTGAGAGGCGGCGGGGCCGCAGCGAGAGAGGCGGCGGGGCCGCGAAGACGGGCGGCGGGGCCGCAGTGAGTGGCGGCGGGGCCGCAGCGAGAGATGGCGGCGGGGCCGCGAAGACGGGCGGCGGGGCCGCAACGAGAGAGGCGGTGGGGCCGCAGGTAAGGGGCGGCGCGAAGCCGCCGGTGAGGGCGGCGTAAAGCCGCGGGTAAGGGCGGCGACGGGCCTGGAAAAAAAAGGGGCGGCGCGCCGCAGCCGCTATGGCGGCTCGACGCGACCGTAAGGGCGGCACTACGGGCCGCTAGGTGCGACTCGACGGGCCGCTAAAAAAAAAGGGCAGGCGCGACTCGAGGCGCGTTTCGGTGGGCCCAAGGAACAGTCCCTAGTAGGGGACCTGCTCTGATTCCATGTGAAAATGAGAACGAGAATGGATGAACTATGAATGAAGTGAGTACATATAGGAAACCCTAATTGGGTTGTACCCCCTATGGGATACCCCACTATAGCCTACACAACAGCATAAGCTATATATATGTTCTGACACGAGTAGACGGCGCATAGGTAGCAGGAGAAACGAAGGGATGACGCCTAAGCTGTTAAGACAAAAGGGAAGGAGGAAATCTGTATGAATTGAATGCATTGAGAATGAAATGTGAGGAGTAATGGATAACGAAATGAAGACATGGTTTTCAAAGATTAGGACAAGGCGAAAATCGCTGATAGCAAGAAAAGCGGGGCACTGGGTAGGAACGACCTAGCTGCTCTGTCGAAATGGCCTTAACCCTTCAAAAACGATCTAGCGTTAGTAAGGTCAACGACACGAGATTAAGAAACGTGGATCTAATTTATAATATCTAACCTAGATCTAGTTGATAGCTTAGGGTAGAATTCTCCTTACCTTCAACTGGTTGCTAGGAGGAGCATGACTAGCGGCCTTGACTATCTAGGAGGAAGAACCAAGTTGGAGTGGCGAGAGGAAAGGGGAGGCAGAAAAAAGGTCGATACAAACCCTAGGGCTGTGCTGATTCCGACGCGTTGAAACCTGTATGATATGTTGAAATGAAATATGCCTTGAGCAGATTTAGCCCAGTTGTTAGAATGTCAGTTCTTAATCGGAAGGTCTCGTGATTGAATCCTTCTTGGAATTTTTTCGAGCAAAGTTCAATTAGCATGAACTACACTAACTTCAACTAGTTACTACTTCCTTACAAATTACCACTAGTGGTACGAAATAATGAATGTAGATATGCAAAACGCTTCGCAACCCTACGAAGACTTCGTCGCCTCTTGTTTTTTTTTTTTTGGTTTTTTGTTGCCGGTGGCATTTTTTTCGCCACCTGTTCGTAATTTTCTGAAACATTTAAGGAGCATTGAATTTAAGCTGGGGCTGACAAAAAAAACTCAGAAAGCCAGTGACGTAATTCGGGAGGCATCAACCCTAAACTCGCATAACAAATTGCTTAGGGTTGATACCTTGAATGTGGTGCAATTCGAGAAGGGTCAATCTTAAATACGGGAACTAGCAATGTGTTTAGGGTTCATGCATTTAAAGCGGTGTCTCGTTCTCAATGGGTTTTGGTTTGTTTTACACAGTTTATAAAACAAGTCAAAAATATTTAGCTAAGACAAGCCTTGTTGGTGCGTCTAGACGTAACAAGTTGCAAAATTTGTCTTTGGTGAGAGAAATGAAACCTCGGGCTGTAATCTTGCGATTCTGACCATAACGCCAATGTAATCACTTCCGCAGCATGAATATAACGTAAAAGTGTTTGTACGTCGTTCCATTTGGACGAGGTTCAGTTGCCCTACCTGCGGTGCGAGCTTAATATTGCAAAGCAATAAGCTCTGTATTTGCGACCACCCCAAGCATATCATGCGGCGCCCTAGAAGTTCTAGTACGACGCGATGACCTAGTAAATTGTTTCATAAATGACATTGACATCCATGAGCACTCACGTAAGTTGATGAAGTAACATTGATCAAACCTAAGAGTCTCGACATGCAGACAATCTCGTCGGCGTGACTGGACTGTAGTGACGCTACACGTCAGACAGTTGTCGTGCATGAAAAAATCGAAACCCCCTTTTTCGCGATCAGACCGTAAAATCAAAATGAACCTGTAACGTTGCAGTACCATCGAAACCAGCGTTAGAAGAACGTGCACGCGCATGTAAGTCGATTCATTTGAGACAGGCGCACGATACACTGCCTCGCGTGATTTTGCCGATTTGAATCTGACACATTCAGCGCGTCAGACTTGAAATCTGACACATCCAGCGCGTCAGACTCGAAATCTGACAAATCCGACATTCTCCTATAGCGAAAATTCGCTTTCCGTAGGGAATACACTTCAATTACATTATATTAAACTGCTTCGGTAGGGAATATATATTTGTTCAGGGGTCTTAAATAACCACCACCGTTAACATTCTCGTATGCTTATTTTTAAGAATTTCTTGGGTCCAATATGCAGGGAATCACGGTACAAATCCTGTCGATATAATCCAATGTGTAACCTAGTCTAACATCCATGGATGGTTAAGTCATCACTCAGTACAGTTTGACATATGACTGTTGGATTTTTACCTTCCCATTATCGCGTCCTCCACATGAATGCCTTTCACTCATAAGCGGTTCCCATGCCTCTGGAGTCTGGACTACTCCACACGCGATATTCTCCTCAGAATCTTGCCGATAAAGCTCGCGCTCTCCCCACCAAAGTTGTTGCCCAGGTCAATCTTCTGCTTGCCTCCTGCCTTGGCCTGCTGCGCATTGCGCATGTCCCTCAGCTCAGAGCGAAGCACCTGGTGAGATGAACACAAAGGGCAAGAAGGGGAGGTTTCAGTAACAGAGCAGCAGGGTGTGCCTCTGCTGCACTTGCCACCTGCCCAACTTGGCCTTGCCGGGCGTTGCATGACCCTCAGCTTTGAGCGAAGCACCTGGTGGGAGGCACAGGACAAGGGAGGCCCAAGGGGAGGCCCAAGGGGAGGCATGAGGGGCAAGGAGGGAAGCAAAGGCAAGGGAAGGGGGAGGGTCTGCTTGATGCACCGGCTCTTGAGCTCATACTGAAGCACGTAGAGGGAAGAGCAGAGGGAAGGACTGGAAGGGTGAGAGAGCAGAGCAGGGTGATGGACGAAGATGAAGGAAATGGATTCTGAGCGTGGTGAGGTTGATGAAGATATGCACTCAGGGAATGGAAGCAGCAGCAAGCGAAGCATGCGGGAGGGATGGAGAGGAGGCATGCTGAAGGGCAAAACAGTGCAGAGAGAAGAAACTAAGTGGGCAGAGATACTGACTTCTTGAGTGAGTGGCGAACGAAGAAATGGATGGCATGAATTGGAGCAACCAAGTTGGAGAGCTAATATAGTGGCAGGAACGGAAAGGCTGAGTACAGGTCGGGAAGTGGCAAGAGAAGGATGGAGAGGGATTATCCACGTAATCTGAAGTTTAAAAACGCAAGGGGATGCCCACCTCACAGGGTAATGCCAGAGCGGCGAACGAATGGCAGTGCGGCTGGCGTGAAGAACGGTTTAGAGGCAGCAGGAAAGGGGTAGCTGAGGAGGTGTGAGGAAGAAGGCACGGACGAGATACAGGAGGCATGGGAGAGGGAGGACACAGTGACTTGAACACACGAAAACGGTGGCTTGTCATAGAATAGCAATGATTCAACATACATGAATATTTTGACAATAGAACGAAGCAAACGGCTAGCTGATGACGTGAGGGGCGAAATAATGAACGAAATCTGGTGACAGAAGTAGCAGCAGCAAGCTGAAGAGGAGCTGATGGGGCGAATAGGATTGGACATGGGAAGAAGTGTTTTTGAATGGTGGGGCAAGCTGAACAGAACAGAAGACATGCAAAGTGTAGAGCAAGGCAAGGGTGGAAGGGGAGGAGCAGAGCGCGTAGGCTGGGTGAGGTAGGGAAAGGGAAGCAGACAAGGTGAGCACTGACAGCACGACGACACATGGGAACAGACTTGGATAAATTTTTGTGGCCGGGGGCAAAAGGGCGCACAAGAAGAAAGAGGCCAATAGCAGCAGGCTCTTCTCAGCAGACGGATTGATCAAGGTCCGCAGGCAGGAACGAGAAAGGCTGTGAGGAAGATCAACTCCACACGACGACGAAACGCAGATACCCACCTCGAGTGTCGAACGACCGGGGGAGCGGCTGAAGCTAAAGCATGGTTTGGCCATCCCAAAATGTGTGAGGTTGGGGTGGGATGTTTTTTAGGGCTTGCGATCGAGTTACTTTCCGAAACTTACATGCAGGTGGCTTTTCTGGGTTCGCGGCTCGGGATTCGTTCGGCAGCATCATCACAGAAGTTTCGATACGACCCTGCGAGCGATTCTATTGGTCGAAATATGTCGACTTCGTCCTCGAAACTTCCTCGACAACGTTCGTGCGATTTTCATTGGTTGTTCGATTCGAACTTACTCCTTCGTAAGGGTGGGGCGTCGAAGCACACCTTCTATGAAGCAGCGGGTGGCGAAAGGGTTTGACCCAAAGCCAGGCCAAGTTGACCCGCACAAGAGCATATCCGTTCCAGTGCACATTGAATATACTGTTATGAAGAGCTTATATTGTTCAGACATCCATTTTGTAGCCGTATAGTAGTTTGATTTCCACGTATGTGATCTTTCTGATCTTGTTTGTTGTGATCAGTGGGAAGATAGAGTCACCAAATAATTATGAATTCTTCTAAAGGAATATTTGCGAGTTCATACATGGACGTTGCATGATGTAGTTTCAACGCTCTCATTTTTTTTTTTTTTTTTTTTCAAGGTTTCTTTATACCACATAATCGTTAATGATACCAAGAAGCTCTCAACCCAATTTGAAGTTACTCGTTACAAACATACTCGTCATGAGAGGGAAAATTATGACAGCTGACCTGCAGGGTGGTGGAATAACCAGCTAGCGCCAGGCGGCAGGCAGCGAGAATGACCACCCTGGCCTCCAGCTCGTGCTCGAGGGTGAAGGGGAGCACAATACCTTACCCCACCACCATACTCGTTGCAATCATACTCGTTATAAGAAAATCGCGACAGCTGACCTGGAGGGTGGTGGAGTAGCCAGCTAGCGCCAGGCGGCAGGCAGCGAGAATGACCTCCCTGGCCTCCAGCTCGTGCTCGAGAGAGAATGAGGGGGTGAAGGGCAGAGACGGCATTTCGCGCTTAGCAGGCGCGGAGGGGGAGGAGGGCGACCCGGCGAATGACGTGGCTACTGCTAGCTGGGGGAGTGGGAACGCGGGGAAGGGGGAAAGTGGGAAAGGGGAATGAGTGGTCCAAGGAGAAGGAGGGGGTGAAGGGGAGAGACGGCTTCTCGCACTTAGCAGGCGCGGAGGGGGAGCAGGGCGAGCCGGCGAATGACGTGGCTGCTGCTAGCTGGGGGAGTGGGGATGGAGGGCAGATGGGGACGGGGAGAAGGTGGAAAAAGGGGGAAGGGGAGAGGGTGGGGAGTAAGGCCAAATGAGGATGGCCGTGCTATTGAAGGGAGGGGGCTGCAGGCAGGAAGCTGTGTGCACCAAATGACATGGCTGAGGGAGAAGGAGGGGGTGAAGGGGAGAGACGGCTTCTCTCGCTTAGCAGGCGCGGAGGGGGAGGAGGGCGAAACGGCGAATGATGTGGCTGCTGCTAGCTGGAGTGGGGGGAAGGGGGAAGGGGAAAATTAGGGAAGGGGAGAATGGGGGAGATGTGAAGGCTGAACATCTTCTGGTAAAGGAAGAGGGCTGCATGCATTGGAAGAGGCATGTGTGTAAGGAAAGGGGGAAACATCATTGGCAACAGTGACATCATTGGAACGATAGCAGTGGTGCAGTCAGTGCAGCAGGGGACGAGGGGGAGGAGTGGGAGTGGGTGAATAAGGTTGCTGATTGGCCAAAATGGTGGTAACGGAAAAGGGTCGGGTTAGCTGAGATGGCGTAAGTCATTCGAAGTCTATGAGAGTCAATGGGAGACAATGAGGAGCCGGTAAGAGGAGCTCACCTCTCTGATGTGCTCCTCAGACACAGACGGCCCTGCTGCCACGAGGCGAGCAGATGATGAGAGTCAACACGAGTCAGTGAGAGGAGCTCACCTCTCTGATGTGCTCCTCAGACGGTATGAATGTCGAAGTGGTTCGACCTAGGAATGACAAAAGCAAGGGACATGGCGTGAGATCGACAGCTGAAAGATTTGCGATACGCGCAGACGCAGAAGGGCGGGAAGATAAGCTATAAGTTGACCCTAGACCAGTCCCACCTCTCCATACCCCTGATGGACCCCGCTGACTCTGCTCGTCTCTGGCTGCACTGCCAGCCAGATTTGAAACTCTGAAACTCAAATCTTACAGTTACAGTTTTCCCGCCAAATGCTGCGCCCCCAACCAATAGAGATTACGAGTCAGGAGCCGCGTTTCTGGAACATTGTGATTTTCTGACCACATCTGACCGCTCTGGGCGTGACGAGAAACGCCGACATGCTATCTGTTATAAGATGGCGTTCCCACAGTTTCCCGACATCGAAGTTTGCCCACGAAGCTCAAAAATTGTCGGGATGGTGGTCAGAGTGGGGTACTGCCCCACTCTGGACACCGCGTCCTTGCGAGCCGTTACGACCAGATTGCGACTTTCTGACCAATATACACATAAAAAATCTAGTCGCACCCAATAGGCCTTCACGTTTGACAATCGGATGGACTCAACGACTTGGTTGGGATTTCTGACTCCCGCGTAAAACGGTGCCCGAAAAATCGAAAACAAAAAATATCTGAGGCGCACTGAATCATTATTGCTATTGAATGGCGTTGACTCGGAAACCGGGCAGCTGAACTTCGGGCAATGACACAGAAACGTGGGTTGGGTCGTAGCTCATTTTAGTAGACGTCGTGGGCCGTCAGATGAGATCGTTTACGGCTGTGGATGAACACTTGCACGACCAATTTGATGGGAAACTTGGTGGTCGAACTTCGAGCCGCATGTTGGCAAATTTCTCGAAATTGGCCAAATTGCGAGACGCCTGGGCAAACTTTCTTGTCGGGAAACTGTGGGAACACCTCCTAACACCCACACTGACTTCCTTTTGTGGAAAAAGGGGGGAGGCGAGGAAGGAGAAAGAATGGGGGGGGGATGAGCAGTAGTTTGGATGGTTTAGAGGGGTTGATTGGGCGATGGGGACGAATACGAGGTTTTCCTTCGGTTTGTTCATGGTGCAGATAAACGTGTCAAGCACACCGCGCAGGGTTTCACCAGGCATGGTGCAGTGGTGGTTCGGATCAAGGGATTTGAAAGTTCCAAACCGCACTGCATCCTCGAAAAGTTTGTGTTTCGTGGGTGATAGATGCTTCATGCGGTATCCTAACCTCTCTCCCAAACTTGCCAAGGCACGCCTTGGGAGGGAGGGGCGAATCTCGGCGCTTTTCCTTCCGAACGTGCTGGTTTGGCACGTCCCCTCGGTACAGTGCCACCCTCTTGCCTGCCCCATTCCATCCCGTGACCCGTCGTGGGTGATCAGTTTTTGCTTCAACAAACCCCAAAACCCCGGCACCCGAAACCCCGTTTCTTTGCTCGTTTTCCTGCCTTCCTCCCTATTGTTTCTGCTTGCATTATCGATTAGCCGGCTATTTGCGGGATCCACTAAGCTTAGGAAGCAGGTATATAATGGCGCGGGTTAAAGTGACTGCTGAGAAGAAGGGAAAGAAGAGAAAGGAGGCGACGGCCAATGGGGTGGAGAAGATCAAGAAGGCTAAAAAAGATGTGACTAAAGAAAGGGATGCTAATAAGGAGAGTTTATCTCTCTTGGCTGTCCCGCGCCAAGTGCAGCTGAAGGTGAAGAAGGGCAAGGTTGCGGAGGAGGCGAAGATTGCTGCGAAGAAAGCGAACGAAACGAAGGAGGTCAAGGCGAAGAAGGAGAAGAAGGGAAAGAAGGGGACGGAGACCGCGGAGATTGTAGAGAAGAAAGAAAAGAAGGAGAGGAAAGAAGTTAAGAAGGGGAAAAAGGGTGAGGAGACGACGGAAGTAACAAAAAGGACAGAAAAAAGAGAGACGACGGAAGAGATGAAGGGTAACAAGAGGGCGAAGCGGGAGTTGAAGGAGGCAAAGCAAGTGGTAGTGAAAAAGAAGGTTAAAGACGTGAAAGCGGAGAAGAAGGGAGCGACGGAGGGGGAGAAGGGGAAGAAGAAGGAGAAGGGGAAAGAGGGAGAGAAGACCGGCAAGAAGGGGAAGAAGGGCAAAGAGGAGGTGAAGGAAGAAATTAGTGATGAGGAGATGGAAGAGGCGAGTGAGGAAAAGAGTGAGGAGGAGAGTGAGGAGGAAAGTGAGGAGGAGAGTGAGGAGGAGGAGGAGGAGGAGGAGGAGGAGGAGGAGGAGGAGGAGGAGGAGGAGGAGGAGGAGGAGGAGGAGGAGGAGGAGGAGGAAGAAGAGAGTGAAGAGAAGGAAGAGGAGGAGAAGAAAGTTGTTAAGGAGGTAGCAGCGAAGGAGAGCAGTGAGGAGGAGGAGAGTAGCGATGAGGAGGAAGAGGAGGACGAGGAGAGTGAGGAGGAGGAAGAGGAAGAGAAGAAATTAGTGAAAAAGGAGGAGAGCAGTGAGGAGGAGGAGAGTAGTGAGGAGGAGAAGGAGAGTGAGGAGGAGAAGGAGAGTGAGGAGGAGGAAGAGAGTGAGGAGGAGGAAGAGGAAGAGAAGAAAGTTGTAAAGGAGGTAGCAGCGAAGGAGAGCAGTGAGGAGGAGGAGAGTAGCGATGAGGAGGAAGAGGAGGAGGAGGAGGAGGAGGAGGAGGAGGAGGAGGAGGAGAGTGAGGAGGAGGAAGAGGAAGAGAAGAAAGTAGTGAAAAAGGAGGAGAGCAGTGAGGAGGAGGAGAGTGAGAAGGAGGAAGAGAGTGAGGAGGAGGAAGAGGAAGAGAAGAAAGTAGTGAAAAAGGAGGAGAGCAGTGAGGAGGAGGAGGAGGAGGAGGAGAGTAGTGAGGAGGAGGAGAGTGAGAAGGAGGAAGAGAGTGAGGAGGAGGAAGAGGAAGAGAAGAAAGTAGTGAAAAAGGAGGAGTGCAGTGAGGAGGAGGAGGAGGAGAGTAGTGAGGAGGAGGAGAGTGAGAAGGAGGAAGAGAGTGAGGAGGAAGAGGAAGAGAAGAAAGTAGTGAAAAAGGAGGAGAGCAGTGAGGAGGAGGAGGAGAGTAGTGAGGAGGAGGAGAGTGAGAAGGAGGAAGAGGAAGAGAAGAAAGTTATAAAAGAGGTAGCAGCGAAGGAGAGCAGTGAGGAGGAGGAGAGTAGCGATGAGGAGGAAGAGGAGGAGGAGGAGGAGGAGGAGGAGGAGGAGGAGGAGGAGGAGGAGGAGGAGGAGGAGGAGGAGGAGGAGGAGGAGGAGGAGGAGAGTGAGGAGGAGGAAGAGGAAGAGAAGAAAGTAGTGAAAAAGGAGGAGAGCAGTGAGGAGGAGGAGAGTAGTGAGGAGGAGGAGAGTGAGAAGGAGGAAGAGAGTGAGGAGGAGGAAGAGGAAGAGAAGAAAGTAGTGAAAAAGGAGGAGAGCAGTGAGGAGGAGGAGGAGGAGGAGGAGGAGAGTAGTGAGGAGGAGGAGAGTGAGAAGGAGGAAGAGAGTGAGGAGGAGGAAGAGGAAGAGAAGAAAGTAGTGAAAAAGGAGGAGTGCAGTGAGGAGGAGGAGGAGGAGAGTAGTGAGGAGGAGGAGAGTGAGAAGGAGGAAGAGATTGAGGAGGAAGAGGAAGAGAAGAAAGTAGTGAAAAAGGAGGAGAGCAGTGAGGAGGAGGAGGAGAGTAGTGAGGAGGAGGAGAGTGAGAAGGAGGAAGAGGAAGAGAAGAAATTAGTGAAAAAGGAGGAGAGCAGTGAGGAGGAGGAGAGTAGTGATAAGGAGGAGGTGGAGGATGAGGAGGAGAGTGAGGAGGAAGAGAGTGAGGAGGAGGAAGAAGAGAAGAAAGTAGTCAAAAAAGAGGAGAGCAGTGAGGAGGAGGAGAGCAGTGATGAGGAGGAAGAGGAGGAGGAGGATGAGAGCGAGGAGGAGGAAGAGGAAGAGGAAGAGGAAGAGACGAAAGTAGCGAAAAAGGAAGAGGAGAGTAGTGATGAGGAGCAGGAGAGCAAGGAGGAAAAGAAAGTCGTGAAAGAAGAGGAAAGCAGTGAGGAAGAGAGTAGTGGAGATGACGAGAGTGAGGAGGAGGAGGAGGAAGAAAACGCGAAGAAGTTAAATGTGAAGGAGACCGAGAAGAAGAAGGGGGGACAGCAGCAGCAGAAGGAGCAGCAGAAGGAGCAGCAGAAACAGCAGAAGGAGCAGCGGAAACATCAGGAGGAGCAGCGGCAGCAGATTGTATGGCAGGCGACGCCTGGCAAGGTACTGGGTGGGCGGCAGTGCTTGGAATATCTCGTGTAGTTGGCTTTTATGAGGGTCACATGTGCAGTGGTAGATGTAGCAAGCGTGCGTTCTGAGAGCTCTCCTGCTTGATGACGTCTCATACTTTCGCATGGAACATTGATGGTGCGCATATGACCCTGAGATGAGAGCTCTCCTGCTGCCTGTTATGAGTCGTGTTGTGAGTTGACTCAAAACACGACTTATTCTACCATGGAACATTGATGGTGCACATATGACCCTGAGATGAGAGCTCTCCTGCTGCCTGTTGTCCTCTTGCTGTTCAAGACCTGCTTGATGACGTCTCATACTCTAGCATGGTCCACAAGTTTTGAGATGTCTGTCTCATAGCATGGATGGTATATTGACGTCAAACTCACCTCGCGGGGAGCTTTGTAGCTGTATCCCGGGAGGGATCAGGCAGCAAGCAGGGCAGCGCTGCAAGAACCGCACTCCATGCCCCGGATTGTGGGCCCCACCCCATTCGCCACCCATGCTCTATTCCCATGCCGCTTCCACTCCCCCCTCTCCACCCCCTACCCAGCTCACGGGCAGCAAGAGAGCCTTTGACGCCATCTCACCGGGATCAGGCAGCAAGCCGGGCAGCGCTGCAAGAGCGTTCCAGAGAGTGAAGGTGGAGGAGGTGAGTGCGAGGCTTCCTTGTCGTTTCCAGTGAATCCGAATAGAGCACCACCACTCCTCACTGGCACTCTGCATGCTGTTCGGGCTAAGTCCAGTCCACAGGCACTCCTTAGCACCACTCCTCACTGGCACTCTGCATGCTGTTCGGGCTAAGTCCAGTCCAGAGGCACTCCTTAGCACCACTCCTCACTGGCACTCTGCATGCTGTTCGGGCTAAGTCCAGTCCACAGGCACTCCTTAGCACCACTCCTCACTGGCACTCTGCATGCTGTTCGGGCTAAGTCCAGTCCAGAGGCACTCCTTAGCACCACTCCTCACTGGCACTCTGCATGCTGTTCGGGCTAAGTCCAGTCCAGAGGCACTCCTTAGCACCACTCCTCACTGGCACTCTGCATGCTGTTCGGGCTAAGTCCAGTCCACAGGCACTCCTTAGCACCACTCCTCACTGGCAGTCCACCCTGTCTTGTATCAAGCACTCATCACTCCTTTTGCTTCTCCCCCCCCCCTCAGGTGCAATTCAAAGATCCCCGACTCATGGATAACTCGTACTGGGCCAAGGTGAGTGGGGCTGGGGCAACATGGGGGTTGGTTACCACCCTACATGGGGGTTACCACCCTACATGGGGGTTACCACCCTACATGGGGGTTACCACCCTACATGGGGGGATGTGGCATGGGTGTTGGGGGGGCATGGACGGATGGGACATGGGTGTTGGCTCAGGTGCAATTCAAAAATCCGCGGCTAACTCGGACTGGGCTACGGTGAGAGGCTGGCTGGGACTCAGCACGCCTGGATGTTCCATGACAGTACGGCGTGCTGTTTTGAGACGTCTCAAAACAACACTTTTATCGCCTGGATGTTGCATGACAGTACGGCGTGCTGAGGAGAGCTAATTACATGCTGTCTGTCTGTCTGTCATTCTCCAGCGAGCAGCAAAGCAAATTAGACGAGACTGCTGAGATGAGCTAATTGCATTCTTTAGGTGCTCTCTTGTATGTGCCTATCCGCTCCCATGATGACACGTGTCCTTCCCATTTGCGACGTGTCCGCCCCGTACCCCGCTTTGCTCATCCGCCTTTGCTGCCTCCCATCCTTCATGCCCATGCCATGTGTCCGTCCCATGCCACGTGTGGTTGTGCCAATCAGAGCGGGGCGGGCAATGGATGGGGCGCCAAGGCACAGGAGGTGCTGGGCCAAGTCAGGGGCAGGTGAGAACAGCAGAGACATGGCAGGTGAAGAACAACAGTATTCCACTCATTCTTGTCTTGTATCACAGGGCTTTTGTCGTGTAATGCTGTGCTTTCAACTGTCTTGTTTCGCCAAAACACGAAATGCATGTACCGTATCTGTGTCGTAATGCGCACTGCTTCTTGTTCTTGATGTTCCCATATTCGCGGCACCTGTAACATGTGGTTACCGCAGGGGTTTCCGCCATGAGAAGACGAAGAAGAAGAGGGGCAGCTACAGGGGTGGTATTATCGACCAGGAAAGCCATTCCATCAAGTTTGCTGATTCCGACGACGAGTAATTCCTGCATGCGATGCTGTGGAACATACGGTATTAGGCGAAGAGACGGAATGACGCGAAGGATCGCGTACGGTTACAGAGCATCTCGACCGTCAATGCAGACAGCATTGTGCAGCCGCAGTAGCGATGATTCTTCCGGGAACAGTTCATAACCGTCAGGCCCTCATATTCACTTTTAGGGACGTTGATGCATCAGGGTCCCTGGGAAAAAAAGCCTGAATTTTCAGGGTTCCTAAAAAAAAAAACCGAATTTTCAAGGTTTCTGAAAACAAATGCCTGAATTACCAATCACATTATGCATTTGTATAAGAGAGTAGCCTTTACGAAACATGACAGCCAAGGGATTCAAACCGAAAACCTTACCTTACCATTCGGTATCAATTTCGCTAACCACTGAGACAGTTCATCCTGTCAGCCGTCAGTGTCTCTTTGTTAGAGACTACATTATGGAAATGTTGGTTGACTGAATCTCTCGGGTGTTTTACGGGAAGAATTCGGAATGTGCATTCAGTGTACACTTTGATAAAAGTCTGAAAAATCAGTGTTAGTTATGAAGTAAAGGCTGAAAGAATCAGTGTCACAAAAATCTCAACACTAAAAATCAGTGTAGGTACACAAACCTAGGCTGAAAATCAGAAATTTCAGGAGAAAATTCCTGATATCGTAGGGCCTAGTAACTGTCTGAAGTCGTACGGTTGGATTTCGTTGTAACAAGCAAATGTACCCCTTACATTACATGGCAGATTAGGTCGTTTCGTATTTCCCTGTACTCTTATGTATACGAATGTCTTTGCACGCTTTTATCAGCCAATCATTTTAAATTCTCTCTTATCTGAGGTCACAATCTTCCATTGCATCACTCAATTACTGCGAACCTTTATGGAGTGATCCTAGTTACGATCTCCCTTCTGATCGCAACATGGTATCAGAGGGACTCATGAATCCTTCGTACTGCCACACCCGAAAATTTCAGCGAACTAAGGTGGCGTTTGGCACACGCTCACGCGTAAAGATGGCAGGATCTGGAGGTCAAACAAATATGACCGCTGAAGCGCAGACCAACCTGGCTACGACAAACGAGGAGACGACGACGATCGGCACCACCGCCCTTGCACAACGGATTCAGCGACTTGCAACTCTGAAACAAGGGCTCCAGACATTGAGGGATGGCGACGCGGGAACATCTTCCCAACCCTTTCAACCGGCATCGAATGGCCACGATACCGCACCGCACACCTTCTCCCTCAACAATGAAGCAATTATCTCAGCTCAATCAAGGTTTTTGAGCATATAAGAAATAAAGACAAGTGCCTGCTTTGACGGCAAAGACTTCTACGCCTAGAGCTTCGAGCTGCAGTTGCTGCTGCAAAACGGATATATCTTCCACTATTTCGTAAGAGCCGAACGCCGCCATAAGATTGTCAGAATCCCAACCACTAGACCATTGGGATAAAATGGCTTGTTAAGTAGCGTGTCAGTGCGCCCATAACCCCCCAGGACAACGAGCCTGTAACCCTTCCCTAGGATCAATCGGGGATCACCAGTGGACCTCTGACACCCCCCCGCACTGGGATGCCCGAAGTGCACACACCGGGATTCGAACCCGAGATCTTCGCTCTGATACCATTTCAGAATCCCAACCACTAGACCATTGGGATAAAAGGGCTTGTTAAGTAGCGGGTCAGTGCGCCCATAACCCCCCAGGACAACGAGCCTGTAACCCTTCCCTAGGATCAATCGGGGATCACCAGTGGACCTCTGACAAAGATCACGGGTTTCAAATCACCCGCCTTTGAGAGGTCGACTTGCTCAAACGGTTCAAGGTTGTCCCTGGCTATTTTCTCCTCTTCGTACTTGTCGAAGTCTGCGAGCGATATGAGCGTTAGCCGTCCAGGGTTGGCCACAACTTCGACGAGAATGGATATCAATTCCACAATATCCACACGTCAAAGCCCAGACCCTCCAGCACCCGTGCGAATGAAACGCTAGGCACGAGCATCAATGTCAACGGTGTCAAACTTATATGCTATAGTCTTTCTAGGCTGTAGTGGGGTAGTCAGTATGGGGTACAGCTTTCTAGGGTTTCATATTTGTACCCAACTCATTTCCTAGTTCATCATTCATTCCTCATTTCTTCACATGGTATAGAGCAGGTTCCCTAGTGGGAACTGTTCCTAGGGCCCACCACTGAAAATCGATTAAATTTTTATTCTGCCCGGAGAGCGAGTCGCTCCTGACCGAGGCGCGCCCTGTGTGCCGTCCTCCCCTTAGCGGCCCGTCGCGCCCTCTCACGGCCCCTCTCGCGGCCCCGTCGCCGCCCTTAGCGGCCCCTCGCGGCCCCACCCTACACGGCCCCGTCGCCACCTTCTCGCGGCCCCGTCGCCGCCATTAGCGGCCCCGCCGCCGCCCTTAACGGCCGCGTCGCCGCCCTTCGCGGCCCCGTCGCCGCCCTCTAGCGGCCCCGTCGCCGCCCTCAGCGGCCCCGTCGCCGCCCTCCGCGGCCCCTTCGCCGCCCGTAGCGGCCCCGTCGCCGCCCTCAGCGGCCCCGTCGCCGCCCTTGCGGCCCCGCCGCTGCTCTTGCGGCCCCGTCGCCGCCCTCTCACGGCCCCGTCGCCGCCCTCAGCGGCCCTGTTGCCGCCCTCAGCGGCCCCTTCGCCGCCCGCAGCGGCCCCGTCGCCGCCCTCAGCAGCCCCGTCGCCGCCCTCTCGCGGCCCCGTCGCCGCCCTCTCGCGGCCCCGTCGCCGCCCTCTCGCGGCCCCGTCGCCGCTCTCTCGCGGCCCCGTCGCCGCCCTCTCGCAGCCCTCCTGCCGCCCTCTTGCGGCCGCCGCCGAGCCGCCGAGCCGCTGAGCCGCCGCCGCCGCCGTCGAGCCGCCGCTGTCGAGACGCCGCCGTCGAGCCGCCGCCGCCGCCGAGCCGCTGCTGCCGCTGTCGAGCCGCCGACGCCGCAGTTCCGGCCCTGTTCTTGCCGGCGCGCCCCGGCCCTACCCACCCGGACTGGTGAGAGCACTCCCGAGCAGCGCCTTTGCCACTGCGCTGCCCCTAGCCTACTGCTCTCACTGCTAGACTGCTGCTGTCATGGCTACCCCCAGTGTCCTTACCTTTGATGCTGAGGGTCGGGCTGTTGACTTTGAGGTCTGGGTCGATGACCTGCAGCTTTTCCTACAGTGCGATAGGACAGACGGACTCTCCCTGTTCGATCTCACCTCTGGTGCCTCTCCTGCCCCTCCTGCCGATGCTGACAGCACTGTCCGCTCACAGTGGGCCACACGCGATGCTGCTGCCCGTCTTGCTGTGCGTCGCCACTTACCGACCGCTGAGCGTGCGCATTTTAGTCAGTACAAGAGTGCTAAGACCTTGTACGACGCTGTAGTTGCACGCTACTCTTCCCCTGCCACTGCTGCCCTTAGCCGCCTCATGCTGCCGTACCTGTTCCCTGACCTCGCCGCATTTCCCACAGTCGCTGACCTCATTACGCACCTTCGCACTAGTGACACCCGCTACCGCGCTGCGCTTCCTGCTGAGTTCTGCGCCAAGAACCCCCCCCCATGTACATCACCCTCTACTACATAGTCACCCGGCTCCCTGACTCCCTTCGCTCGGTCAGGGACCACTTCCTCTCTGTTTGCCCCACCACACTCACCGTTGACCTCCTCGAGGAGCACCTCCTGGCAGCAGAGAAGAGTATAGTCGCTGTAGGAGCCTCTCGTGGTGACCCTCGTACCCCCTTCTTTGAGGGGTGCTCCCCCTCCCCCCTCTTGCCCTCTGTTGCCTCTGCTGCTGCGGCCGACCTCGTTGGCCTCGAGTCGGTCGGAGCTGCGTCTGCCCCTAGCGGGAGACGCCGCACCGGCAAAGGCAAGGGGGGCAAGGGTGCTGGAGGAGCTGGCGGGGGCGGTGGAGGTGGCGGTGGAGGCGGTGGAGGGGGTGGAGGCGTCGGTGGCGGTGGGAGCGGAGGTGGCGGAGGCGGCGGAGGTGGCGGCGGCGGCGGTGGAGCTGGTCGCGGCTCTGCGCAGAGGGGTGGCTCCGGTGGTGGTCAGCGCTAGCAGCAGCAGCGCACTCGTGAGACCCCGTCCCCCCAGCAGCTTCGTGAGTGGTACGCTGGGCGTCAGCGGGGTGGGGGTGCTGGTCCCTGTACCTACGTCCTTCGTACCAGTGACCGCACTGGTGAGCAGTGCGGAGGCCCGCACTCCACCCAGCGCTGCTTCGGCCGCCTGACGGACGCTTGGCGTCACCAGTTCCCTGACGCCACCGAGATCCCTCGCTGGGGCGAGCTGTCTAGGGCGGGGGTTGCTATCTTTGATCTTGACTATGATGCTATTCTTGCTGCCATGTATGCTGTGTCTACTAGTGATGAGGGTGACTGTTACCTGTGTGTTCCGCCTGACCCGGGCATTGGTGAGGTTGCTGCTCTAGGTGCTGGTGAGGCTGCTGCTCTAGGTGCTAGTGAGTCTGCTGCCCCAGGTGATGGTGACTCTGCTCTCTCAGGTACCACGTCGGCTCAGGCCTCCCACACCTTCACCCTTGACTCGGGTGCTTCCCGCTCCTTCTTTCGAGACCGCACCACACTCACGCCGCTTAGTCGGCCAGTTGCGGTCTCCCTGGCAGACCCCTCTGGGGGTCCTGTCCTTGCCCACTTCTCCACTGTCTTACCGTTTCCGGCGGCCCCTTCTGGCACCCTGTCAGGTCTTTACCTCCCCTCGTTCTCTACGAACTTGGTGAGTGGTGCTGATCTACAGGATGGGGGGGTTCACCAGTTCACTCCTGCGAGTCTGCGAGTGACCCACTGCACGTGTGCCCAGGGGGCGTCGCGGCGAGCAGAGATGGCGCCCAGTGGGCGCCGCAACGAGTAAGGGCGACGCCCCGAGGGCGTCGCGACGAGCAGAGACGGCGCCCAGGGGGTGCCGCTACACGCAGGGGCGACGCTCAGGGGGGGGGCGTCGCGTCGAGTAAGGGCGACGCTCAGGGGGGGGGCGCCGCGTCGAGTAAGGGCGACGCCCCGGGGGCGCCACGACGAGTAGGGGCGGCGTCCAGGGGGCGCCGCGACGAGCAGGGGGGGACGTCGCGCAGGTCCCGCAGGGGCGTCGCGACGAGCAGGGTCTAGGGCGGCGCGCGGGCTGCAGAGGCAGCTCCCAGGGGTTGCAGAGGCAGGCACGGCTGCAGGGGCAGCGCCCACGGGCTGCAGGGGCAGGCACGGCTGCAGAGGCAGCGCCCACGGGCTGCAGGGGAAGGCACGGCTGCAGAGACAGCGCCCACGGGCTGCAGGGGCAGGCACGGCTGCAGGGGCAGGCACGGCTGCAGGGGCAGGCACGGCTGCAGGGGCAGGCACAGCTGCTCGGGAGGGCGGCGCGTCCCACGGGCTGCAGAGGCAGGAACGGCTGCAGGGGCAGGCACGGCTGCAGGGGCAGGCACGGCTGCAGGGGCAGCACGGTCGCAGGGGCAGCACGCGGGCTGCAAGGGCAGCGCGGCCGCAGGGGCAGCTAAAAAAATTTTCAGTTAGGGCAGGGCGGAACGTTCGGTGGGCCTTAGGAACGATTCTGCTCTAATACCATGTGAGAATAAGAACGAGGAATGGATGCATTGAGCAGCATGAGGAGTACAAGTAGTAAACCCTAACACCACTGTACCCCATAAGGAGTGCCCCACTACAGCCTGCAATATAGTTCTGACATGGAGGGGGGCAGAGAAGGAGTTGAGGGGGTTGGGAAGGAGTTTAGGTGGCAGAGAAAGATTGGACGAGACCAAGCAAAGAAGGTGATGATGGGGCAGAGAAGGTGATGATGGGGCAGAGAAGTTGATCATGGGGCGGAGAAGGGATGATGGGGCAGAGAAGGTGAGTATGGGGCAGAGAAGATATGATGAGGCAGAGAAAGTGATGAGGGGCCAGAGAAGGTGATTATGGGCAGAGAAGGGATGATGAGGCAGAGAAGGTGATGAGGGGACAGAGGAGGTGATTATGGGGCAGAGAAGTGATGATGAGGCAGATAAGGTGATGAGAGGGCAGAGAAGGTGATGAGGGTGCAGAGAAGGTGATTATGGGGCAGAGAAGGAATGATGGGGCAGAGAAGGTGATTATGGGGCAGAGAAGGGATGATGAGGTAGAGAAGGTGATGAGGTGGCAGATAAGATGATTATGGGCCAGAGAAGGGATGTTGAGGCAGAGAAGGTGATGAGTGGCGAGAGAAGGTGATTATGGGGCAGAGAAGGGATGATGAGGCAGAGAAGGTGATGAGGGGGCAAAGGAGATTATTATGGGGCAAAGAAATGATGAGGCAGATAAGGTGATGAGGGGGCAGAGAAAGCGATTATGGGGCAGATACGTTGATGAGGGGCCATAGGAGGTGATTATGGGGCAGAGAATGAAGAGAGGGGCCAGAGAAGGAGTATGTGGCATACCTGTTGGCTTTGTTCTTCATGTCTAAGAGTGTTTCCTTGGTGTGCTTACTCGTCCTTGCGCACTCGAGGTACCATTCGATGTAGGCGATGATGGCATCCATTTGATTTTGTGGCACCAAGAATGGTAGGACTTGCATAACCGAGCGGTGCTTATAAGCTTGGTAATTCGCACCCTTCACGAAGTACTCTCCCGATGGTAGCCTCATGTTCCCACCTAAGGATGGAAAACGAATACCCGATTCGAATACGAGTACCTTAGATGATTATTTAGCGAGCGAGTAGTTGTGGAAAAAGTATCTGATCGAGTACCATCATTTTATCCGAGTCAAATACGAGTCTAGTTTTGTCGAATACGGTCGAATACAAGTCGAGCATCAAGTGCTAACTTATAAACTTTGTATGCTTGTTTCAACAGAAAATGCTTTGATATTTCAAACCTAGGATACAACTACAATTGTGCTAAACTTAGCCTAGCATGCAACAATAAGCACACCTCTATAATAATGACCAAATACTAAAACTACTCCATGCATGTGAGCTCAAACCAAGACCTAAGGCACAAACATGCTTGAATTGTCCTAGGATCAAGGCTATGACGATAATCGGTGATGAGATGACGGGCAATGGAGAAGGTGCGCTCCGATTCGGCGGAAGTTGCCGGAATTGCAAGGTAGTCGCATGCCATCTTCACAAGAATGGGGAATCGTGCACCATGCACTTTCCACCACATGTTGAAGGTTGGACATTTTGCATTGGAGTCCATGCTCACTCTTTCTTCTTCAAGATACTTGGTCATTTGCACGGTGGTGGATTGACGCACCCTGTTCTCGCGGGAATGAATGAGACCACCAAGAAGGGAGGATGTGGAACGAGAAGAAAATGCCGCTCGATCACGAGAGTCGTTTCTATCTTCCACTTCCATGTTGCGCTTGCATGCTTCCTCATAACTCTTGAATGCTTCCATGAAAGTCTCCTTGACCATGCGCGTCGAAACATGTCCAACGAGTAGTATGCGAGGTTGAAACTTGGATCAAGGAGCGTAGCAACCGTGTACTCCTCGGAAGAACGGTCGTAAGAGTTCTTGAGCTTTGCAAGACCATTCTTGCATGCTTTCAATAACTCCACACCGTCCCTGATCCACCTTCCATCTTATCCATTAGAATATCTATAAGTGGGATACATAGGGATACACTAGCGTAAGAGCTTCCCTCTAAAACCGTGGTAACCTCTGCAAAATGTGCAAGGATTTTGGCGAGGACTTGAAGAGGCGCAAATTCCTCATCCTTCATCTTGAGTTCTCGTTCCACATCTTCCACTACTTCGCCCACCAAGTAGGAATCAGTGGCGGGTCGAAAGAGTAGCGTTCGATGCACCATGTTATTGGTGCTCCCCCACCTTGTCGGCGTATCCAAAGCAATGGAGTTGACATCAATGAAACCCTTCTCCTTACAACGATTTGCAAACTTCCTTTTATGCAATAAGGGTCCCCGAATGTGAACGGCGAAGGCCCTAACCTTCTTGAGAGCCGCATTTACCTTGCCATCCTTCAAGAGTTGTTCAACGACGAGGTTGAGAACATGTGCAAAGCACCGTATGCGCCTTGCACTCGGGAACCCCTTCTCATCCACAAGAAGTTTGATGAAAGCCCGTAGGCAAAATAGTGACCCCCCCCCCCCCCCTTCTAGTTGGGTCCACTAGAAACCTGAAATATACTTTGTGCTATTTTGAGAAGTTGAAGTGTTGACTTGTGATTTTTTTTTCTTCCCCGTCTGTCATTTCAATTTCGATACCCTAGGCGTCGCAAGCATGTGCAAATGTATCGCAAGCAAGCATGTGCAAATGTGTCGCATCGTTGCGACATGCAATTCTCCTTGTGCAAGCGTGAAAAATTCACATCGAGTGGTAGCATGTGCAATTCACACGGAACAAATGCCATGGAAAAAAAACATACGCGGGGAAAAACATGCGCGGGAAAAAACATAGAGTTCCAAGGTGAAGGGAAGGGACGAGAGGGAAGAGCACGAATGTGACGGGGCGAGAGGGGAAACGAGAACGGGAAGAGGGGGGGAAAATGAGGGTGGCGGGACGAGCGGGGACATGAAGGGGGCGGGATTAAGCGGGGGACATGTAGGCGACGGGACGACGGATAACGTGAGGAGGGCGACTGGATGGGAGGTGAGAGATGAAAAGAAGATGAGAGGGCATTTCGTGGCGAGGTCGAGGCCGGCGAGGTGGGTGATGGGAGGGAGAGAGGCAGGGCGTGATTGGGCGTTTCAGGGCGAGCGCGAAGGCGACGGGAAGGAAGATCACGAGGGCGACGGGAAGCCATGGGATGGGCGAGTGCGAAAGCGCGGGAGCGGGAGGGAAGGCACGAGGGCGACGGGACGGGACGGGAGAGCGCGGAGGCGATGGGAAGCGAGGAAAGACACGGGGTGGGCGACGTGAGGGTGTTTCGGAGGGGAGGCGAGAGGAGTGAGAGGGAGGGGACGATGAGAATTGTGACGCTACGGGTGGGAGACAGGTCGATAGGGACAAGTATGGTGATGTTGGGAGAGGGGGAAAAGAAAGCGAGCTCGACGGGAGAGGGGGGGAGAAAGCGAGCTCGACGGGAGACAGGGAGAGAAAGCGAGCTCGACGGGAGAGGGGGGGAGAAGGGCGAGAGGAAGGGAGAGAGGAAGGGCGCGGGTAGCGCGTTTGAGGGCGAGTGCGAAGGCGACGAGGCAGGCGATGGGAGGAGAAAGTGGATGGGGGATGGGAGGGCGTTTCGTGGCGAGCGGGAAGGCAATGGGGTGGGAGATGGGGGGTGTGAGAGGACGCGTGCATCGAGGGCGACGGGAAGGGAGCGACAAGAGAGAGAGCGACGGGAAGGGAGCGATGAGAGAAAGAGCAACGGGAAGGGAGGGGAGAGAGCAAGACCGACTGGAAGGGAGGGGAGAGTTACAGAGAGTGACGAGGAGAGAGCGACGTGAGAAAGAGCGACAGGAAGGGAGCGACGGGTAAGGGAAGGGGAAATACGGGGGGAGGGAAGGCAATGGGAAGGGAGAGGCGACAGCGAGGGTAATGGGAGGGGGGCGGAGAAATCGAGGGCGATGGGAGGGGAGCGAAGAACACCAGAAAGACGGTAGGACGAGACGGGAAGGGAAAAGAAAAAAGCGACGGTACGGAAGGGAAAGGACGAAAGCGACGGGACGGGAAGGGAAAGGACGAAAGCGACGGAATGAGAAGGGAAACTGGCGGGAGGAGAGGGATGGGAAGGGAAAGGACAAGGGTGACTGGACGGGACGGGAAAGGACGAGGGTGACTTGACGAGAAGGGAAATGGGCGGGAGGAGAGCGGAGAAAATGAGAGGGACGGGAGGAGAACGGAGAACATGAGTGCGACGGGAGGTGAGCAGAGGAAGTGAGAGCGACGGGAGGAGCGGAGAAGGTGAGAGCGACGGGAGGAGAGCGGAGAAATTGAGAGCGACGGGAGGAGAGCCGAGAAAGTGAGAGGGACGGGAGGAGAGGAGAAAGTGAGAGCCAAGGGAGGAGAGCAGAGAAATCGAGAGCGAGGGCCAAAGAACGTGAGAAGAGGAGGGCGACGGAATGGGAGGGGAAACCGAGAGGGTGATCAGGAGCGTTGTAGTGAAAGGCGAGCGCGATAGCGACGAGTGAGCGGCGATGGTAGCAAAGGCACGGTTCAAACGCGAGTTTGACGATTTCGCGCGAGATGAAAGAAATAGCATCACGCTGAGAGGCCACGTCTTACTACATTACGCACTCGAGCTACGTTGCTAATTGCGGGCCTATGAGAAGGGCGACTAGGATTTCAGCTATTCTTAGCTAAACATAAACTAGTGGCTACGGAAGTGTGAAAGAGAGATTTGAACCCCGTTCCAGCTTGAAACTGAAGTTGGCCAGGCGACTCAACCCATCACTTCACAATGTTCGTGCGAGTGCAGCACGTAGACGTGCGACGGCTGACATTCTTTTGGCGGGAGCGAATTTTTTTATCATTTTTTTGCGGTAGCCAATCACATCAGTTCGATCTGAAAAGTTTGGATGATTGTAACAGTGCTTTTTCCTGGTGATATCATCCTCTTTGAGAAACTCCTCGCACCACTTTTTCAAGTTGGGTCGGGGTTCACTATTTAAAGCCCGCGTCCCAAATTGCGGGCCGCGAGGGTCAAGTTTTTAAAACTTGACGAAGTTGAGTGTCCAAGCTTTTGAAAGTCACGCACTTGCAATTTGGGACTTTCGAAGACAGATTCACTCACCAGGGGGAAAACCGAGGGTTGGCTGGGTCTCGCGAAAAAAACGAACCTAGACGAAATCGGAAACTCTCGCCAAAGCCCACACCAGAAAAACTCCCTCTGGTCAACTTTTAAAAGCATGAACAGTTTGAGCCGCCGGCTTTAAGCTGCTGGCTTGAAATGATCATTGGATGATGCATTATCCAACGTGATTGCTATTACTTTCTCTCCAATTCCCCACTCATCATAAACCGTCTCCGTAAATGCATTTGTAATAGCCTCTACCGTGTGACTCCTCCAAAAGCTTAAATTCTAACATGCACAGAATGTTGTTGAAATCCTTGTCAATGAAATGTGCCGTGATCACCATGTATGCACGGATGTTGGGCGACGTCCAAATATCGCAACTGAATGCAATGTTGGAGGGAAGTGCTTGAAGGTATGCTCGAATTTTACCCACATACTCATCATATTTGGCCGTCAAGTCGCTCGTTTTGCGAGAAATGAATGGTTGCTTGCGGGTTGAGCCACTTCAAGTAGTCCTTCAAGTCTTTGTCTTCGATGGCGGCGAAGGCGATGATGCCTTTTGAGAAGATTCGGACGAGCCGCTCGCGGTTTTCATGCTCTGTGTAAGGCGTAATCCGTGTCAAGGCACGAAGAATGTTTGCGGTTCCGCCACCATTGCATGTTGCAAGCTCGACTTAAAAAACGCGGGCGTAATCCTTTGCATGTTTCGACTTGGCGTGGTTCCGCATGGCCATTGTGGAACCGCCCTTCAAGGATATGATGCCATCAATACTCTTTGGGGGACAATAGTTGCAAGTTGCCTGGTCCACTCTGTCAATCTTAGAGAACATTTCCCAAATCTTAACGGCTCTAGTCTTGACACGCTTCCTACTCGGTGCGGTAGCACCATCGTCATTCTTGAAATGCGGCAATTGCTCTGACTCTCTTGAATGCGATTAGGATCGGCATTACTCATAGGTGAGACATTTCCAGCTTCATCACCGTTAAGGACGGGATACTCGGAAGGAAGGATACTTGAACTCATGATGATAACTGCGAATGGAGAATTTAGAGTGTGTAAACTTGAGGCTAGTTAAAATAATAAACTGTGGGCTCAAGAGTCAAGGAAGTTAGCTAGTTACGCTCTCTGGATTTAGGATGTCGAGTGAGTTTGGGTGTTTGGTTGGGGCCTGATGTTGTGATTGCGCTACGGTTGATGCATTGGAAATGAATAGGGTCAATTTTCTCGAGTCGGGTAACTTTTCGTGCAAAGGCAACACCACTGTTTGCTTGCATTTCGCGATCGTGCGTTCACGTACATGAGCTGTGCTGATCGCCTGCATTTCGTGGTCAGCAAAACTCCGTCATGCATTCACGAGCGGGTGCTGCAATCTTCGCTTGCATTTCGTGGTCAGCACAGCTCCATCGTGCGTTCACGATCAGGTGATGTAATGTGCTGTGCTGTGCGCTCGCATTTCTTTGTCAGCACAACCTTGTTGTGTGTTCACCCAAACCACATGTGAGTTGATTGCGGTGGCTGCACGAATATATGACTCAGCTGAGCAGTGAGTTTCCCGCTTTAACAGTTGTGTTTGCGCCAAACTGCTGCACATGCTTTCTTCAAGGGTTGCGTTCGTGTGTGTTTCTATCAAACTTCTCGATACTTAGCTTAGGTCCAGTCGACATAGAGAGGAACCTTGTTTATTCTGAGACCGCAAAAATACACGGCGTTCAGTGCATCTGACCACGATTTCAGAGGAAGCAAACCCTAAACATAGATACCCTTCTTCTCATACTCCCACTTAGTTCCCAAAACATGCACGTAAAATTAAACAGGGCGAATCTTCCTGTGTGACCCAAGACCTCTTCAATAAAAAAATCCTTATTCCGAATACCGGGGGAGAGAGGGGGTGGGGGGGGGGAGGGGTGTCAGAATCCAAACGACTAGACTATTGGGATAAAAGGGCTTGTTAAGTAGCAGGTCAGTGCGCCCATAACCCCCCAGGACAACGAGCCTGTAACCCTTCCCTAGGATCAATCGGGGATCACCAGTGGACCTCTGACACCCCCCCGCACTGGGATGCCCGAAGTGCACACACTGAGATTCGAACTCGATACCTTCACTCTGATACCATGTCAGAATCCCAGCCACTAACCACTGGGATAAAAAGGCTTGTTAAGTAGCGGGTCAGTGCGCCCATAACCCCCCAGGACAACGAGCCTGTAACCCTTCCCTCGGATCAATCGGGGATCACCAGTGGACCTCTGACAAGAGGGGGGGGGGGGGGAGATAGAATAGACTCAGTCGAGTACGAAACCGAGTACCCGGGTACTCGACAGTTTTAGTATTCGCGTTTTTAGTCAGACATTCGCCTTGAAAAAAACTCGACAATATGTGATTAGATGAATAGTACTCGAGTAGTTAATATTCGTCTTCCACCCTTATTCCCACCCCATAGCATGCTCTTCACATACTTCAACCATTTATCGAACAGTTTCAACCATGATGGACGCTTCTTCTTTTTAAGCACGTAGTGATGAATCGCAGCTATAATGTGCTCAAGAATGCTGAAGTCCGCTTGGTGCATTATATCTGGCAGCACGACGACGCATGGGTTCAACATCGGCACGTGTTCCCACCGCCAACCCCATAGGTAACTCTGCAAGGGCAGAAACGCGCACAACATATAAGGACCATAGGTAAGTACAAGGATGAGGAAGAACGCGAGGAAAATCGGACAAATAGAGGTGTAGACACGAAACCATACCTTAACGGGGTGTGTAGAGAAAGCCTTGTTAGATTTAGGGTCAATGAGGCCACTCTTTATCCTTCCACAACCCGTTTTTGCTCGGTGGATGTTCAAGGGTAAATTCAGAACTCAAACCGTTTGAGCTCGTCCTTATCCACCTTGCACAAAGAGCAAGGATATTTAGGACCGAGAGATTTGGTGCGTGTAACCTTGCAGGATTCGTAATCCGTGACGTGGGCGCATACGGACGGCCACACATTGTTTGTCTCACACTTGAGTTCTTCATCTTGACCCTCGTGTGTGATGCTCTCTTGAGGCCTGCCATTACCTCGTTCATGACGTAATGGAAGACATCCGTTCTACCAAGAGACGAGTACTCCGGCGGGAACTCGGGGAGCAGTGCAAGTAGGACGTGTCCATACGGTCTCCATCGATCGTCCTTGTCGATGTTTCCAAATGTTAGGTACACCGGATGGCCCTTAGCCTTCCCACGATGGACCATGTGTGTTTCATCACTCGCGATTATCAAAGCAGCCACCACGCCCTCTGGATCCTCCTTACAAACCTTCGCCTGCAATTCTTCCCACCACTTGCCTGTCTCCGGCGTTGTATACATCCGCTTCTCGCCATCATATTGCGGTGAACTAACCATGAACATTCGAGAGGCTAACTGGGGGTGGGCTAGTACCGTATTCCCCCGGATAGAAGACCCCCCCAAAATACAACACCCCCGGGTACCTAATACGGGGGGGGTACTTTATAAAACCTCGATTTCGTTATACCACCCCTTTGGGGGGTGATAAATATAAGACCCCCCACTTTCCCTGTTAGGGGGTTTTCCATGTACTTTTCCTTTGCCTTTTTCGAAACTGAAACATTCTATAGTGCGAATTTGGCTGTGGGTCGATGAATTCCGAGTGTCTGGGAGTTGATTTGCTGCGTCAGGGAGCGGTTTGCCGCGTCAGGGGGCAAATTTGCTGCGTCACGGAGCGAAATTGCCGTGTCAGGGGGCGAATTTGATGCATCAGAGGGGCGAATTTACTGTGACAGACGAATTCGTTGTGATTGGTCAAGCCCACCTGCTAGCATTCCAAGCGAACAACTATTTGCTAGCTTGGTGCTCACCAAAAGCAAACCCGCAATTTCAGTATTACCTGTATTGTTCAACACACTAAGTAAAAAATATGCCATATGAAAAGACACGGATGGTCTAATTTTTTTTCCTTTGTTAAGACCCCCCCCCCCCCCATTTTTTCTAGGGATTTAGCATAAGACCCTAGTAGATCTTGAAGAGCTATTAATCCATCACAAGCCCAATACTCCAACCATGCCTTGTCTTGCGACCGAACTAACCGCCGTTGCCACCCTCGGTGCGAATCCGGCCTTTTAGACTCGGCATAGGCATGCACATCCTTCACATTCTTCCATCGGAGGACGTCGCGGATGTACAACTCCTTGTCATGCATGAAATCAAAGAGGGCATTGATCTGGCTATTAAACAAGCGGCAGGTAAGCAACCAATGTGCCCAAGCATCCAGAGTGTTCTTACGAGGAGCCTGATTTGACCTGTCAACGTCATCATCCTGCCTCCCCTTCCCTGCCACTATCCCAAAGTTATCATCTTCACATAGTTAGCTAGCATTTTCACTGTTGTGACTACTCCTATCACTAGCCTCATCATTATCAAATCCGGGTAAGATCATGCTTTCCACAGCTACCGCGGTAGGTTCATCATGGTTGTCCACAGAGCCTAAACAGTTGTTCATCATAGTCTTCTACTATGCATGCCGGTGTCATCGCCGACATCACCACTCAAAGACGATGATGGAACAGATGTTGGGCGAGCACGCTTGGACCCACGCGCTTCGAGGGACTGTCGTATGGTTCTCTGAGCTGCGGCAGTTGCCTCGCAAACCGGGTTGGTCATGTGACCGAGCAGTGCTTGCCGCGTCTTGACATCCCTTCCACATTTTGGACATTTAACCATTTGCACCACTGCATGATGGGTGCGTTGAGGCAACATAATAGGAACCAAGAGGACAGGAAATGAGAGAAGTGGGCGAGTAAGGGCGGAGGGGACAGAGGAGAAGAGGAGGGGGAGGAGCACGAGAGGAAGGGGCAGCGAAGGAGAGGAAGGGACAGGGAAGGAGAGGAAGGAACAGAGGAGAAGAGGAGGGGGAGGAGAAGAAGGGGCAGAAAAGGAGAGGAAGGCGCAGAGAAGGAGAGGAGGCAGATAAGGAGAGGAAGGGGCAGAGAAGGAGAGGAAGGGGCAGAGAAGGAGAGGAAGGGAAAGAGGACGAGAGGAAGGCACAGAGGAGGAGAGGAAGGGACAGAGGAGGAGAGGAAGGGGCAGAGAAGGAGAGGAAGGGGTAGAGAAGAAGAGGAAGGGGCAGAGAAGGAGAGGAGACGGAGAACGTGACGAGGTGGCAGATAAGCAGATGAGAGATGGATAAGCAGGTAAGGATAGGAGGGTGCGTCGAAGGATGGGAGGAGGCACCTGTACAATAAACGCATCTTATGCCACCTTAATAGTAACAGTGGTTCATACAAGAAGCCGACGTGTTCACCCACTAGTCAAACAATTCCTTGAAACCATCAAATACAACATCAAACACGCCCAACTCTTGAGTGTGCATGGGGCCCGGATTCAATGCATCCTGCCACCACCCATTATCGTTCACTGCACGGGCTGTACAGGTTGCTGCAGGCCGGCTTTGAATTGGATAATCCGCCACGCAGAAGAAAAGCGCGTGGTGATGGCCATTGCGTGGAACAAAAGCGACATTGAAGGGGTCCATGGTAGGTGCCTTACAACTTGCCGAGTCTTGCAAGCTGGCCAAGCGTTATGGTGATGGAATTCTGCTGGGGAAGACACACTTAGAGTGAGGCGGCGATACAGTGGTGAGCCTTCAATGCTAAACACCGGAGCGAGCGGAATGGGAGCAATCCAAGATAGAAGAAGGGAGGTAGTATGGTGATAGGCAGAGAGCATAACAGCAGGAAGGGTGGTAATGAGCCGGAGCGGATAGGGGGGAGCCGGAGCCCACCACAATGTCTCGCTCTGTTGTGCTCGGATGAGGCGACTAGAGTGGCAATTCAAAATGCTGGGGGGGGGGGGCAACAAGTCACAAAGATCTCAAACTTTTCCGCAAGTGCTCACTAAAACAAGTGTCAAGTGGAAGCTCCCTATTTGGGAGGACAGGTGTGTTGGGTGGCGTTGCATGAGAACGTGAAAGTGTGATATCGTGGGCGTGCTGGAAGAGAGCGCAACAGGTAGATGGGAGAGCGCCCCAAGAATGAACAAGACAGAGAGAGAGCAGAATGCGAGGACGTGAGAGTGCCACATTCTACACAAGAGAGCTGGCTAAACGTATGTACGGGAGTCATGTCACATGAAGAACAAGAGAGAGAGCAGAACGGGTGGACGGGAGAGCGCCACAAGAAGTACAATAGAGAGAACATTATGTGAGGACGGCAGCGTTGCCGAATTTGAGAATGAGAGGGTGAAGCAAGAAGCAAGAAGCAAGAAGAGAGGAGCTCACCATGATGCGAGCACAGGAGGGAGCCGAATTTGCGTACGGTAGGTAGCGGAAGGCCATGACGGAAGAGCCGAATGAGAGGACGAGAGAGGGCGGAATGCAAGCACGGCAGAGCTTGGATTGCGAGCACGGATGAGATGAGATTGCGAGCACGGATGAGATCGGATTGCAAGCACGGACGAGATCGGATTGCAAGCACGGGAGAGAGCAGATTGCGAGCACGGGAGAGAGCGGATTGCGAGCACGGGAGAGAGCGGATTGCGCGCACGAGAGAGAGCAGATTGCGAGCACGGAAGGGTTGATGAGTACCCTTACAGAGAGTGAGGAATGGTAGCACGAGCGGAGAACGGCGAATTCGCGGCGCCCTGAGAGCGAGAAACGGGGTATAGCTGAAAAAGCACCCTGCTCATTGCTGGATAGTCTTTTTTCTTAAAGGATCGAGTTAGAACAGGGTAAACAGCAGTTGCAGATAACGTCCTAAGACCAAGAGAGAGAGGACAACGGACAACCGCAATGAGGGATAGTGGACGTGCAGCAAGGTGCGGAGCGGTAAGGCATCAATAGCGAGACCAGTCGAGCGCGGATTGGTGTGACTCAAGGCTCTCAAGAATGCGCGCAACATTTTTCCCTACCGTGTCACGTCGTGTCTAGTGCATTCCCCTTCCCCTTAAGTGTTGCAAAGCGCCTACCTTGTTCCCGTAGCTTTAGCAACGTTAGGAACTCCAAAAGAAACCAAGCCACGCACTTGGGTACCCTTGTGCTAACCTCACAACAACTGCATCGCGCACGCAATAGGTCCATGGTCAATTGAAATGTCGATCGTAGCAACATTGCGGTGGTGCAAATTTAGAACGTTTTTCACAATTTTGTGAAATAAATTGAAATTCTAAGGCTATGAAGATTCATCTCAGAACATCGGTTGATAAATCGCGGGACTTGATTACCAGTACTGCACATATGCTTTTGAAGTGATGGGTAGGGAAGGCATGTGAAAGTGGAACGGTAAAAGTGGAGAATCGATCGCCTCAGGATCGGTTTTTAGCGCGGTGGTAGGACTACTGGAGGGCTGGAAACTTGGCTGGAAAAGTTCAACAGAGCTGTTATATGCTTGATTTCCTAGGTTAGGTGCATTCCTATATTTTATTATAATTATAGCACCGAACCAGGTTACGTGTACCAAACTCAAGCCTTTTCGGTTGCCACCGTATTGGTTTCTACTGAGTTCGGGAAGGTTATGTTCGGGGCGCTTCGCGACCCTCAGAACATTCGCGCAACACCTGGATAACTGGCCTTGTGTCGAGACTATATATAGCCTCGTGTTGTACCCATGTGAATCATTCAATTCAATTACAACTCTCTTTTCTGAGCTCGATCCTAGATCCTCACAGAGCTGCTGGAATTGGCTGGATGAGGAAAAAACTTCACTATGCTCAAGATTATACAAGCCCACTAAAGCACAACTCTTTAAGCATCACAAACAAAGCATATTGATAGCTCAAACTAGGCTGATAGACGAGGTAACTTCCTTGGGAACTGCGCAATGTGCCTGATGGTGAAACCGCCAACCTGCACCTACTTGGTAGGTGCGCACATCTGCGCAGATAGACAACCTGCGACTGCAGCCTCCCATCATTTCTTTCACCCACTGCACCAGCTCCTTGAACACAGTGATCAATGCCGATGCATCTTGGTTCCCCACGGATTCACTCGTGCCAATCGCCTTTCCTGTGTCAACCTTGCCAGCAACGCAAACATTCCCAAGGACAGTTTCTTCTTGTCCCAGACGACTGTGGTTTCACTCTTTGACCACGGTTCCACTCAGATTCAGCTTGTCTTTAGAGGTTTCTGTACCCTTGGTACACGTGGTTGTCTCGAGCAGCCTATTGCTCTTGTGAAGACCAGACCTATCAGCAATTTTCATCCCCGTGTTGCCTTGTTTCTTGCACTTTTGCACTTGACCCGCAGAATCTGCATCACTTGCCTTCTTGCCCTGATGCTTAGCTTCATATGAGTGTAGTGATGACACAGCTTCACACACCTTCACCCGGACAGTAGCCTTACTTCCCCTGAAAGCAACTCTTCCCATAGCTTTGGTTTTCTTCAAACATGAGGCGATGACCTTCAGCTGCTCAACCAGCTGCATCTCGGCTCGTTTATCTCGTCCATGGTAACTGTCATTGACTCCCCCTCGATGATACTCCCCTTCTCAGTAGTTTGTGCTGCAACTTTCTTCCACGGCACAGCAGGTACTCGCCACAGCTCATTATCCCAGCTCCATTCGTCGCGCAGCTCCCAAAGCACCCTGTTCCCTTGAACCGCCCGCCTTTGTTCTCATTGTTCACTCCAACAATAGCCAACTTCCTTAGCAATATCACGTTGGCTGTCATTTCCGGTACAAACAGCACCTTCTCAATCACAATCGGCTTCTCGTCAGCTCCCAAAAACGCAGCCCTTCCTGCACCCATCACTCTTATTGCATGTCCGAATCTGGACTTGATTTCCGTGATGGGTGTTGTATCAATACTTTCCAGCAGCTCCGCACATGGTGCCATTGACCAAGCTGCTCCTGCATCCAGGATCCATGTTTGCCGATCAGCTTTTCCTTTTGCAGTTGTTGCCCGAGATCTTTCTCCCGCTGCTACGTGGAAGAAGTGCCTTGCTGTTTTTCCTTCAGATCAATCCGTTTTCCTAGCACAATCCGCTACCACGGAAACGCCATGCTTCTCGCCTTCTTTCCCATCTTCGTTCAAGTAGCTTGGGTCCCACAAATCTGGTTGTTCGTCACATTGCATCCACGTATGCCTCGGCTTTTGACAATACCAACACTTTCCCTGAAAACTGCCAAACTCGCTTCCGTAGTCACTCCTCGATGGTCCGCTGTTCCAGCCTCCATAGTTACGCATATAATCTCCCCTTCCCCTGAAATCGACATTTCGCCTCTCGTAATCTTCTTCAGTCTCTTGAAATCTGGACATTTTGCCTTGTTTATTACCCTCATTTTCTCCTCGCCTTCGTATGTTCCTCCAACTGCTTCCCTGCATGCCGAAACCACCATTTCCGTCATCCATATTGTTCAGCTGACGCCTTGAAAAATCCTCCTCCAAAATCTTGCTCCTCACCCATTCGAGAGTCCACTAGTAAACTGCAGATAAGATTCGGGTAGTAGCGACAGCATCTTCAAATACTTCGCTTGTTCAGGATACACCACTCTGGCCATTGTCAGTTTCGCATACATGTCCCACATCCTGTCATGAAACAGGTTGTAGTGGCTCTCCTTCATTCACTCGCAATGAAGACAACCCCCATTCCAACATCAGCGTAGCTGTAATCGACGTTGGCGCATGCAAGTCATTGAACACGGTCCACGCCTTCGGCCCACAATTCGCTTCCTCTAGCAGATGCATAATGTGCGGTCCTTGATTCAGCTCCAAACTTTGCGACAAGAGGTAATAACCCACGGATGCCTTCTCGTCCCATTCTTCCTTCATAGCAGGGTCGCTTGGCCTTTCTTCCTTCCCGATCATCACTTTGAGCAGTCCAACTTGCCTAAAGTACAGTTGCATCTTCCATGCCCAGTCGTCATATCCCGTGCCATTGAACTTCTCAACCGTGAAGTTCCTCAAGGCCTCCTTTAGCAGGGATCCCTGGATGGTTTGTGCCATCCTAGCCATTGAACCCCCAGTTACTTGGCCTCCGCTGCTTCTTGGCTCGAGGACCCTTCAGCTCTATTCTTAACCATGGCGTTCTATTGGCACAACGCAGCAACCAAAGCTTTGATACCACTTGTTAGTCTGAACACATACTAGCCTAGCCAATAATTGATGGAAAGCGAGCAAATCTGGAGAGCGTACAAGAGATTAAGTCCGCCGACTTCGACGGAACATTGCGTGCAGCTCACGTAACCTTAAACTATAAGCAGGTACGCGTTGGAAAGGTCTTAATCTCTACTTTCCAGAATGGTAACGCACGCTTTCAACCAAGATCTAGGCCGATCGCTATCGCGATCTAAGTGCGACGGTGTATTCTGGCGGAATTAATAGGCAGCCATGGATTAGATCAAGAGACTAGCTTTAGCAAGAGTTCAGATCTGAAAAGTG